AATAAATTAATAATTTTTTCCGACCTCAGCAATGTTATTTACATTTTGAAATTAATTTTGAACTTGCTAATAAAATATATTTTACATAATTATTGTAATTATTTTTAATTAAAATAATTATTGCAAAAAGAAGTTAACTTTTAGATTGTACATGAAAAACAATTGTTAATGAAATCAATGTTTATTGAGCTGATAAATCGAAGCACAAATTGATTTTTGTATTTTTATACATTTTTATAATGAATTGACAAAAACAATTCATTAGCAAGTTCAAAATTAATTTCAAAATGTAAATAACATTGCTGAGGTCGGAAAAAATTATTAATTTATTCAACAAAGAGAGTCGAAAAAATGTTGAAAAGTTAATAAATGTTTTATTTATTATATAAAAAATTGCTTTTAATTGAACAAATCATCATAAATTGGAAATAAAAAATTGATTTAAATATTGAAAAATTTAGTATATATACATTTATTGCAATTATTTAACCTATATACGCAAATTAACTAATCCTATGTGTATAATTGAAATGAATAATATTTCCAATGAAAATAATTAAACGTTGCTGTGCGAAAGATAGAGACTGCTGCGCGTGCAAGCGATGAGTAGCGTTCCAAACATCTACCAGTGCTGCGCGCGCAGTTCTGAGTACTGTGAAAACGATTACTGTCCAGTGGAATTCTGTAACTCGTTATGCAATCGTTATGTGCTCATAACGACAGCCACGCAGATATTTTATATGGTAAAAAAGCTGCGCAACTGTCGTTATTAACTCGTAACGACTGCATAACGAATTCCACTACAGCGCAGCTGTGATTACTGTCCAAATAGCAATGACTAGCGCGCGCATAGTAATTATCGCTGTGCAGTGAATATTTTTTATCGGTACAGTAATCAGCGCTGCGCGATTTAGCGATCATCGCTGCGCAGTTTTCTCCGTGTACTTACGTTTATTGAACCATGACTAGCCATCATGTAAATATTAAAATTCGCAACCATGAAAAATAAAAAAGTAAAAACTAAAAATTAAATACTAAAACATTTTACAAATAACAATTAAAAACTGAAACCAAATGATAAAAAGAATATGATAAATTGATAACAAATAAAAAACAAAAAGAAATACTTGAAAACTAAATAGTACAGAAAAGATAGTTTTTTAAAAAAAATGTTTTCTCACAATTGTAGCACTCAATTATATTGTTATTTTATACTCAAACAATATTATTTGTATTTGACACTATATAGTGTCAAATATAATTATCGTTTTAGTAATAAAATAATAATAAAATAATGATATATTTAGTAGGAGCAGTGGCAACTTATATTAAGTTAAATTTGACACTATACATTTAACAGTGTGAGTCAGTAATAATACACTCATTCACTTTTAGAGAGTAGTGTGTACAATTATAGAATATATATTATATCTAATTAATTATAGAGGATAGATTGTATTTAATCAATATGTAGGGGAGAGTGGTCTAAATCGGACCGTGTTTCAAATAATAATTTAAATGATTACGGTTAATTTAAATGAATTTTTTTAATTTAAATGAATACGGTTAAGCAGATTTGCATACTATTTATAATGTAAAATCCTTATAAAACACCGAACATGTGATAGCAGTTTGACAATCTCTGTCATAACATTCATAAAATAGACGCAAATTTTGTGTATTTTGTGTATTTTGTGATGTATTTTCAGCCATCGTGAGAAAATTTTTTTAAAAAAGAAAATCTTTGTAAATCATTATTTAAAAGGTGTTAAAAATTTGAAAAGTAATTGATTTAAGATAATTAAAGAGTGTAGAATT